TCGATCAAGTATTACAAAAAAATCTATCATGGATTACAAAAAAAAAAAACCGTACGGACTCGCCGATTCACTGTTAGGACTCGCCGATTCCGTACAGTGAATCGGCGATTCACTATACAGAATCGTCCGGTTCTCTCTAGAACCGGACGATTTCCGATTTTTTGGGCGATCCGGTCCCCTTTTCACGATTTCCGAGTCGAACCGGGCGAGTCCGGTTCGACTCGACGTTTTTTAAAACGCTGGTTCTATCGTATGAAAACTTTTAAATCAAGCATCTCGACCTTGATCATTATGGTTCTCAATAAAAAGTAGGACTTCAAAAATAGTGTATATACATATTATTTAGACTGTCAATTTTTAAGAGTTCATATATCTATTGGATTTGTACTATTTTGTAAGCTACAAAATTCATAATCCGTAGTAGAAATAGATTTTAGGGCTCTCTTAGGGATTTCCCATTCCTGAAGGGTTATCCAGGCAAGATTTCAAGGTGAGGCTTTACTTCTTTTTAATAAGGCCTCGGCTTTATAAAAACTGCATGGTGTATGTATTGTTTTGTGCTCCCAAACCATTTTTTTGGATGAGGTTTCTATAAGACCTAGGTTTTATGAAAACAAAATAAACTCTTGTCCAGAAAGCAATTTCGGCAACGGATATATCCATGATGGCTCTAAAATCAATTTCTAATGTCGACAATGAAATTCAAAACTAAAAAAATGGTACAGATCTTATGGATCTATGGATATATAAACATTTAGGGCGAAATGGATGATCTAGATAAATTGTTACAATATACATCATTTTTAGAGTTTGAAATCTAATTTTTTTTCACAACCATAATGTTTAAGCCAAGACGATTGATGTAAAAGTTTTCTATTACTTGAATTGCAATATTTGATGAGTCATGAGGTGAGGTTTTACTTGTTTTGAAAGAGTTTCAGCCCTATCAAACCAGTTTCCTTCTTTTTTATTGTCATACCATATCCCGATATCCGGATGTATTTTATAAGCACCGCATGGTCCCAATCGAAGTAGTGTTCTATGTATAATGGATTCTTTTTCCCTTTTTTCTCTTTCCAGGCATAAAATTGCACATACTGCCTAAATGTAGATATTTAGGTACTCAAAAAAATATGTTCTCTTTAAAAAGAAACTTATCAAGCACCACTCAATATTCTCATCATAACCACTTGAATCTTATGGTATGATTCTTTTCATGTAGTTAAAATTATGTGTTGATTTTTTATTTTTTATTTACTTTGGGTTGGTCTCTAAGTTGAGTAGGTTTCTAAAGTTTGAGCTCCTAATATTATTCCTAGCAAATGTGCATTTTATTCCTACTGGGGCATATACTAATTCTTTTATATTGTTAAAATATAATGTATCAAAATGTCTCCCTGGCAAAAAGGGGCAAAATTAGGAAGTAGCCCCCTGTAAATTTCAATTCTCTCCTTTGATGGACTTGCTTAAATTAAATATGGAGCTCTTGTATCTAAATTTAGAAATGTCAGAGATGTTAAATAGTTAATTTCTTGAGTACTATTTGATATATTTATGCATCAACAAAATAATCCCAAAGATTCATTGATTTTTATCAATGGAATGGTATACATGGGTTTGCTCCTTCTACCCTTCAATTCCTGTTTCTTTTTTCATTGAATTACTGTTTGCATGTCAAAATAATTTCACAGGTTAAAAATCTTCTTTACATCTCAAGTTTAAACTTGAGAATCACTTATGGTCTATTTGTCATGTTTATCGTGAAACTAATATGATGATCGATGTTCTTGCTAAAAAGACTACAGTTTTTACAGAGGCCATCATTTGACGCTCCAGACCCCCCAATTTTCTTAAACTTCTTTTACTTCATGATGTGAAAAAATTACTCTATTGTAGGGTTGTAAAATAGTATGGTGTAATTTTTATTAATAAAAAACGGGTAGAGGGTCTTCGGCCTAACTAATTTACCTAATAAATAATAAAAAATAAAAAATTCTCCATACACTGAATTTAACAAATTCTTTCGGTTGCTTTCAGCATAAAGATGTCTCCCTTTTTGGTACAATTTTTATCACAATGTACTAGTCCTAGTTTGGGTTGGGTAGACGACTTAGTTGTCATCTTCATCAGCCGAACCTTTTCCCAACTATTATGGTTAGGCTAACAAACCACTTAGTTATGAATATGATTATTTCTCTCCCACGACCATTTAAAATAGTAGATGATTTTGTTTGGCTCACTTCTTGCTATTCGTCAGTGTACTCCGTTCTTGGCCCTGCTTATTAATAAACCCATTTTTTACTACATAGGAAATATATCAAAATACCTTTGAGGGATGAATACACTTTAATCATGTAATTTGATTAAATTTCAAAATACCTATGAAAAGACACATGATCATGAATTGGAATAATGACAAATGTGTAAAATGTTAAATACCGCATCGGGTATCTTAATAAATATCTTTTAATAGATTTAGGAAAAATTACATAAACTCCTCAATTTAGTTTTTCCACATAAGACTCCCCACTAATTTTGCTTTTACAGCGAATACTTATTAGATGAATTGCTTAGGCCAATTGGGACAAAAACAGCCCCATAGACAAATGTGTGAAACAAAGGGTTGAATCAGGTGGCCCACAGATCCAGGGAATTAATCCAATATTTATAGGCACTAAATGGAGGGAAATTGAGGTGTGGTTTCTTCACTTTAAGAAGGTCTGCTCTGGTTTGAAACTTCTGTATGTTAAACAAAGTAACAAGAAGATCAATGCTAACCAGAAAAACTAAATGGTCATAATGAAGCATAAATGCACAGTAAGAAGCAAAGGAACAAGAAGAATAGTACTCTCCAAAAGCTTTTTTAACTGAGAAAATCAGGTATCACTGAATTGCCAACATGTCAATTAAGGCTTCGAAGCATTGTGTAGGTATGGTGTTGATGTTTCTGGTTCGAGGTCCATCAAAAGATAAAAGGTTTTGCTCAGGATCTGACTTGAAATTGGATAGCAACATAGGAAGCAAATTCGTTGCCTGTTTTACTTGAATCCACATAGAACCAATTTCTTCCCCAGAGAATTAGAAACTTACAAATGAATAAATATCTAAATCAAAAGTCCAAAATAGATTTTATGCAAACAAATGCTCTTGTTTATTTCCATCACTGTGAAGCTAGAACTAGACAACAATACTCTATTTAAAATTTGATACAGCTGAGAGAGAAATACACAAGAAGACTTGATTTAAAATTTGATACAGCAGAGAGAGAGAGAGAGAGAGAGAGAGAGAGAGAGAGAGAGAGAGAGAGAGAGAGAGACGAAGTAACGTACGTAACTACGTAACGTACGTAGGTACGGTAGGCGACGGTCGGTACGTACGTACGTACGGTACGACGGTACCGGTAAGGTAACGGGT